AGAAGGAGAAGGAGAAGGAGAAGGAGAAGGAGAAGGAGAAGAAGGAGAAGGAGAAAATACCCCAAACCAAAACTATAGCCACACACCTGAGAGGCCAGCATTAGATGTTATCAGCCCCAAATTCAACATCCGCACACAGCTCACTAGAATGCAAGTATAACCTGGCCACGAGGCATTCAGGTTTCACAGACCATTCTGGCTGCCTCTGCCCCAGGCAGTTCAGACATCAAGAGCCAGTGCTGATAATGGGCAGAGTTAGGGGTGACGGCAATGGCATCGCCTTCTCTGGCAGAAGGCTGAGAGGGAGGGGCTGTGAGTTGGTTGTGAACCATCATCGCAAAATGGAATCAGGTTAGGTCTCTTCCTTAGACAAATCCTAATCTTGGTGAACCATGGAGAGGTTTTTGTGTGCTTTGTAAGCTGATGAAGTGGACAAAAGGATCTTTGGATATTTTGAAAGCTATTTTCATAAAATGATGAAAATAAATTAAGTGGTGAGGGGATCCCTTTATTTACATTTTTATTTATTACATTTTTTAATCTTTTATTTATTTATTTATTTGCTATAGGGTCTCCTGGCCAGCTCAGCACGCAGTACCAGAGATTGAATTTGAGTCCTTGTTCTTGCCAGGCAGGTACTTAAACCTGCTGAACTATCTTCCCAGTCCCCATTTATTGTCTTTTTTGAAACAGGGTCTTGCCACGCAGTTCAGGTTGGCCTTGAGCTCACTGTGTAACTCACAATGATCTTCTTGTCCCAGCCTCCTGAGTGCTGGGATTACAGGCCTGCGCCACCACACCCAGTGTGAATGGCTATCTTGTATCTGGCATTTTTGGTTTTCTTTACTTTGGCTTTGGCTTTTTGAGACAAGTCTCACTATGCAATCCAGATTGACCCTGAATTCAATATGTAGCTCAGGCTATACTCAAACTTGAGGTCTTATAGCTTCAGCCACCTGCTGGGATTATAGGCATGTACTACCACTCCCAATTTTTTGGGGGGAGGGGGCAGCTTGGCCAGTCCTGAGGATGGGGCTGGCATGGCATGTGGTGCTGGGGATTGAACCATGGTCCCCTGCACCTTTCTAACCTTGCCTAAAGCAGGTGCTTTAGACTACTATCTTGCTGGCCCCCTACTCCCAGCTTTCTATCTGGAAATTTCCTTGAGCATGTGAGATAGGAGATCTAGCTTCCCTGGGTTCCACTGAACTATAGACACCAGAAGAGCTCCCTCACTTTTTGTGCAAGCTGGATTTCACCACCTCTCAGGTTCTCTGGGCTCCTCAGCTATCTCCTCTCCCCCAATCACCCTGGGGTCTGGGGTACCAATTACTACTCATCACCTTGAATGGCTTTTCCATCCCTCACTCCCCTGAGAGGAAGCCACTTTTTTCTTCTCTCTTTAGCTCATTATAGTGTGACATTTCTACAGGGCATTTTTGGGAAACACTTATGTTAATAAACAGATAAATTTCCCAAGGAGAAATCAAGAACTGGAATTGCCCAAAGCAGGTAGCAGATTTAAAGTATCTGCATGCGTTGGCATGACCAAACGCTGTCTCTGCCTTTCCATTACTCCTCTCAGCAGCCTTGACCACCCCTGGTGTGGAAGGGCAATCAGTGGTCCCTCCACTATGGCTCCCTGCAAGGGTTCTTTCTTCTGCACGTTCTAGGGGCCTCAGGCAGCTCTGGGGTTGACTGTTCTCCCAAAGTGGGGTCCTCCACACTGAACACCACACCATCTGTGCCACTGGCCATACCTCTAGTCCCTGGTGTCTGCTCCTGTCATGAAGATGGCGCCAGCTTTGTGTAAACTCGGCCCTTTGTCAGATCCTGGTGGCCTTGTCACCAAGGCCCCTTGAATCGGCTGTGGCTACCCTGGGCTGCCTGTGGCCAGCTAAGGCCAGAGAGCAAGGCCGGGTAGGTACCCAGAGACACCTCTGGATAACATAGGCCAGAGAATGCCTGGAGCCAGCCAGGGAAGCAGAAGCTGTCAAGTCTACCTCCATTTGTAGATAAGCAAACAAAGTACAGGCAGATTCAAGGATTGTTCTAAAATCACTCCAAGAAATAATGAGGGAGAGAGCTGAAGCCCAAGCTGTGCTTCCTTCACTTCTGTGGTCATCATACTCAAGAGAGGTGCTGCTTCCAAGAACTCCAGGAAAAGATGCCCAGAGAGCTCCAAGAAGCAGCCCAGGGTCAGGACCACAGACACTGTGCCCCTGCCTGGCCTCAGTTGCCTTACCTGGAAAGGGAGCATATGGGGCACAGTCCGTTAGGGCCCATTAAGCTGCAGCATGTGAGCTAGGACTCCCTCTAAGTCAGCCAACCTGTATTCCCAGAGAGGGGCTCTAGGTTTGAAGTGGGGGACCCAGCCTGTGCCTGCCCTGTGGCTCTGTGTGTGCCCAGGACTGCCCCAGTGTGAGCCTGAGTCCCACCATCTAATGCATTTCTGCCCACCCTTCATGTTTTCTCTGCTCCTTATTTGTCTGGTTATTTCTCTTGGCTTGTTTTTGTCCCCTGCCCCCATGGCTGGCACATGGGGAGGGATGTGCTGGAGGCTTCTCACCATCACTGTGGCTGACTCCTCCAGCTCTGTGAGGATCCAGCCAGCATCCTGCAGGTCCCGGCCCTCCACGTGGCACTGTAGCAACACGGCATCCCCCACATCCACAGAAGCATTGGACACCTGGACCTTCAGTGTGGGCACACCTGGCCACCCAGGTTGCCCCAGGGATGTTAGAGTTGGGCGTGACCAGGGAACCCCAAGCCAGGTGTGTTCCTCAATGATGTGAGCCCAGGCAATGCCCCTAACTTTGTTCTGCCACCCTTGCCAATGGCCGTGACCCAGGGCCCCTCAGTGCTTGCTAAGGCCCCTTCTCCAGGCAGGCAGCCCTGTTCCCCGTCCCCTGGCAGTGTCTCCAGCACCTACCACAGCTGGTGTTATGGCTGAGGGGCAGACTCTGGTTCCTAGGCCCGAGACAGCGCAGCCCCTGTGTGTGCACTCTGCCCAGCCCCTCCTCTTCCCAGCGCTGCAGCCAGTACAGGGCACAGGAACAGTGCAGGGGATTCCCAGACAGGACCCTGGAGGAGGGGCAGAGTGAGGGAAGGGACAGCCTTATAGCCTGAGAAGCCAAAGGAGGCAGAGGGCCAGGAGGAAAGTCTAGGGCAGAGAGTCTAGGGGTTGGGGCTGGTTCCTGTCACAGCCTCAGTTACAAAGGAAAGAAGTGCAGAAAGTTGAAGACAGTCAGCTGAGTGCTGCATGGGTTCCCCATGAAGGCTGCCTAGGCTGTCCAAGCGACAAGCCAGGCAAGGGCTCTCAGGAGGGAGGAGGGACGGGCACAGCCTCCTGCACTGACCCCAGGCCCTCAGTGCCTACAGGTACCCAAAGGCCACTACTGCATCCCCCTCCCTGTGCACACCTGCTGGGGATGTGGGCAGGTGTGCCCATGTGCATGTGCCAGGCTGGTGGCCTGCTCAGCACAGGACCCTGGTCACACCAGCCCCCACTCAGCACACAGGCTCCATCCCCAGCAACCACCCCCCCAGCAGCAGTCCCATAGCCCCTGCTCTGACAACTTCACAGGCAGGCACAGGCCCCAATCTTAGCTCACAAACACACTGCCCTCCAAGGGATCCCACCCCAGCCCCCAAAGCTCCACACAGACAAGGTGACCCCCATCACACCCAGCATTGGGGACCCCGCTCCACACATATGGCTGTTCCTGCTCCTGGAAGCCCCCAGACTCACAGCTCCTGTAAGGACAGGCCCTGAACTGCTTTCCAGGACAGAGACTCCAGATGGTTGAAGGAGAGGTTCCTGTGGGATGGAGACAGACCCTGTGAGCCTCTGACCCTTATCCAGGAAGGGAGGAGCTAGAGCCTCAGAGGAAGCTGACATCTGGCCGCTGGTGTGTGGGTGCTGGGACCGCAGGTAAGCCTCTTGGAGTCCACTTCTCTCTCTGGGACCACAAGGGTTAACCCCACTTAACCCCCTCCCCAGGCCCCAGGGAAAGGGAGGGGGAACAGCCGGTCCCCTCCCCCAGGCCTCCTCAGCCCCAGCTGGCAAAGTGCTGAGGCCACAGCTGGGGGAAGGGGCTCCATCTGCGCTCCCCCACTGAGGAGAAGGGGAGGACAGAGGCTCCCACACTCCTTTGCCCCCTGCCAGAGGACGACAGGGACCTCAGAGTGCTTCCTCTGTCCCCTCCTCCTCCTCCTTCCTATTCCTCCACAGGGACTAAAGAACTTGAAGCAGAAAAAGACCCCTGAGCCACAGCTCCCTAGGCCAAGAGACGGAGAAAGTGAGCCCAGTGCAGGGCCTGCTGCAGGCCACGCAGGGGCCCTGTGCTCTGTGCCTGCACCAGGCTGCAGTTCCTGCGCCCCTGAGGCTGGACCCTGAATCCTCTTTTGCCCTGTGGTCCTACAGTTTGTGGGGGCTGATGGGAGAAGCACCCTCACACAAGGACTAGAAATATTATCACCACTGTGAAGACAGAAAGAGCTGGGTGAGCTTTGTCCCGCCTCTGGGCTGTGTGACCTCAGCGCAGAAGCTTGACCTTGCTCATTCTAAGAATCTTCATCTACGCAAGCCAGACCACACTGTCTCTGTCAGCAGGTGGGTTGTACAGATTCACCTCTACAAGACTATGAAGTGTGACTGAGACTGTATTCTTCCTGAGGCCCAAGTACCTAGTGAGTGACAAAGCAGCATTGTTATATCATCATTGGGCCCAGCACAGCACTGTGAATGGCTCACCCCTCCAGCCTTCCCCCTCTCCACCAGCCTGGGCAAGGCCAGGATCTGAGCCTCTGCCCTTAGAAGCCCAGGGAAGGGCTGCCAGGCATGCCAGCGGTATCTCCTGGCCACTCCCTGGCCCTCTCAGTCCTCCACAGAAGGAGTAGCTGAGACTCTGAGAGCCAGGGAAGGTGACAAGTGATACCCCAGCTCAGCAGTCCTGTCCCCACTCCTCACTCCCTTTGGATTGGTGTGTATTTGAGCCCCTTGGAGAGGCTGGACAGGTTCCTATGAGACATGTCCCTGCAGCACAAGTATAGAAGACACAGATGAAGACCTCAGGCAGCAGGCCCGAGTGCCCAGAGCTCTGAAGCAGCAAGGAGCAGCCCTGGCAGGATGGGGCGATGTTTCCCTGACCAAGCTGGCCCTTCTTCAGAATGCTTCCCTGGGGAGGGCCTGGCCCATTAGCAGTGCAAGTCTGGGTGTCCCCCCAGCCCGCTACCCAGCCCCGACACTCACAGACGACTGAGCTGAGGAGTGAAATGGAAGGCATCTGGCGCCACGAAACGGAGACCACTCTTCACGATGGTGCTGGGGAGGGGTGTGGAGGATCAGCCCTGGATCCTCAGTGATCTGTCCTGAGCCCTGCCCTCTCTGCGCATCATGGTCCTAGGTTCCCAGGGCTGAGCTTTACACCTCTCATCTTCCCTTAGTTTCCAAGGCTACCTGGAGCTTCTGGACCCCTGGACTTCCTGACCTCCCCTCCAGCCCTTCGGTGTTCGGCCTCTCAAGTCCTCCCAGGCTGACCTTTTGGTCCCAGGGCCCAGGCCTGAGCCCCACCCTACACAGCCCTTAGTTCCTTACAGGTTTCTCAATTCCCCCAGGCCCTGCAGGTCTTGGAGCTTCAGATGCTGCAGATGTTGCTGGTTCTCCACATAACTGTGGGGATAAGGGGTGGTTATCAAAGGGGTCAGCCCCCACTTGAGTCCCATGCCCCCAACTCCTTCACAGTCACACATGCATGTCTGCATGCATACACACACCTATGCACTATTCACAAGTAGCCCCACTTGCACAGTCACACATGCACAGATACAGGCATGCGTGCATATGCAGAGACCACCTTCTCACCAGTTGCACACACATGCAACCATGCATCCTTATAACCACATGCATATGAACACATACATAGTTCTTGTACCATACACACACCCAAGATGCATATGCACACACAGAGACACGAACACTTGCCCAGGGAAGATGCTGTGCATGCACACTTACACACATGCATGCAAGGAGAAATCTGTGTGCATGGATGGAGGTTCATATCCCCACACACGGACACACACACACATAGGCAAAGCTCACATACAGCTCTCACAGGTACACACGTGCACATGTGCAGGAAATGTGTACACACCTTCACACACTCACCCACCTATCTCTTCTAGGTTTGCTTCTCTACTTCTATACCGGGCCTCCCGCACATGCCCCACAGTGGGAGCCATGCTAAAACACCTGCTTCCACAAAGAGCCTTGGCTCATCACTGCCACTGCCCCACCCAGCGAAAAGGAAACCCTGTGGCCACAAACGCTCAGGGGCCATTCCCAAATGCTCAGGGGCCATTCTCAGGCCTCATTCACACACACACACACACACACACACACACACACACACACACACACACCCTACCTGCTCTGCTCTGCCAGTGAAATGCCTCTGGTCTCTTTCCACATGCACCATGCTTTCATAAAGCAGGAAAGATGCATGGAGGCTGTCAGATAGAGCACTCAGACCCTCGCTGCCCCACGAGGGACCCTGGGAGGGGAGAAGGGCAACAGGAGGATGGAGCTGGAGGATGTGGGGTGGAAGGAGTGGCAAGGGCTGGCTGGCTAGCTGGCATGAGGGGAGAGGCAAAGGCTGAATGGAGGGGGCGAAAAACAAAGAGTAAGACATGGAGAAAAACTAATAAGAGAATGAGAGAGAGGGTAGCAAGGAGAAAGACAAATAAGGAGACACAGACAGACACACAGACAGACAGACAGACAGACAGACAGACAGACAGACAGACAGACAAGGACAGAGAGCCAGAGAAGTTAGGGAAGCAAGAAAGAAAAGCAAGGAGGCCTGAGGGTGCTGATGGTTGGCCCTGCCTGGCTACTGGATCTGGCATGCCAGGGAGTTCCTAGGAACTCAGCTGTACTGTAGTGGTATGTTGGCATGTAACACACACACACACACACACACACACACACGGACACGACTCTGCCTGCTCTCAAAACTCCCTCCCTCTACCTCTGAACTTTCCCTTAAGTAAGAACTAAAAAAGGAAACCAAGACCGGCATAGAGGACCCATTTCCTCTCCCAGCTGTGGCCCCAAAAGAACAGCCAGGTGTCAGCTCTCAGTTCCCAGAAGGCAGGACTTTGAGGGAGGGTAGGTCCTTGTTAGCCCTGATACTCCCCAACCCCACCCAGAGAGTTTCAAGTCATCAGGACCAGAGGAGACCGCATCATCAGCCGGGTGTGTGCATGCTGTCAGGTGGTGTGCTCAAGGCTGCCTCATTCGTTTGGATTCATAATCAATCTGTCTATTCGAGTCCATTATCTCCTTGTTAGCTCCTCGGGTGAGGGAAGAAAGGGGACTGTGTAGGAGGAGGCGAGGGGGATTGGGCTACTGCCCCACCTAGAGGGACATTTCAGTCACCCAGCCCTCTAGTCCCAGTCCTGGCCTGTCAGCTCCTGTAGCCCCAGGCTGGATCTCCTGGGGACTTGAAAAGGCACTGGGAAAGAACCCTGACAGGGAGTAGTCAGGAGCCTGGCCCCTAGCTTGATAGCGAGAGTGATGAATGGACAGGACCAAGGGTGACAGTGTGGATCTCCTGCCCCTCCCCTTAAGCAGAAACCTAGGTCTACACCAAGACAAGACCATCTCCTCTCCTGGTCTCCCTAGGGCCATTAGAGAGAGATATTGAGTACCTTCCCGTTAATTACCACAAGATGCCCGAGTAATTCAGTGCCAATTATTGCAGGCTGCTCAAGTAACTTCCAGACAGTGACAGCCCCCACCTCGGATTCCTTCCAGCCTGTCACTGCTCAAGACCAAGGCTATTGCCCACCCAAGAACTCCAGATCATAGACTGGAGATTTCCCAGCAATTCCTCCCTTCTTCTAAAAGTCGTGCTGACCCCATCAGCCACACAGAATACTCAAGTCTTTTCAGCCACCACCACATGATGCCTGAGTACCTCTAGGCCAATTATGACAGCACACTCCCATAGGTTTCACCAGCTGCTACAAAGTACTTGAGTATTTTTTTAGCCACTGATCGCAGAATACCAGAGCATCACAGCACGCTGGAGAAGCCTCCCAGCTTTGGGTCTAGAAGGGGAGGAGAGTCTCTCAACAATGGCCCTGACTCCCTCACCCAAGTAGGAAAACAAGGGTGCAAAAGGAGATGGGAGCGGAGGGAGAGAAACCAGGAGCAAATCCCGCTTCCACATCAGATCAAGGGGTTCTGTGGCCAAGGAATGGTGGAAATGGGAGAGGAGAGCTCAACCACAAGGCTATGGCTCCTCACCAACTCCAGCTCAATTCCTCAGCCTAGGGGGAAGAGCTAGAGGTGCCTGGTCATAACAAGGAAGGAACTAGGGGTTAGCTTCCCCCTGGTAAAAGGAAAAGAAGTAAGAGCGCTGTGTTGAGGGGATTTCTGCAGCTAACTTCCCCCGTGCATGAGGCAGAGAGCTCCAGAAAGGGGCTCTGAGTGTCCGGCTTCCTCAGACCTGACCCACGGAAATCCACTTTGCACCTGCTGTAAGCAGAACCAGTGTCCCAGCTGCCCTGAGCCTTAGGTGACATCTAGACAGCGGGGCCTGGGGGTGGGGATAGGGGGATCCGCCGGAACAGTGCAGCAGCATTTGAAACCAGCTGCGTGGTGCTGTTCCCTGGCCGCCCAGCTAGCAAGCAGCCGACCTGACCCACCTAGCAAGCAGCCGGTCCACACCCTCGAAACAGAGCTGTGCCCTCCTGTCGCCGCGCCCCCTCTTCCCTTGAACACTCACAGCTCTGTCAGGTTCTCAGCTCCCGGCAGTTGACGGAGGCTATTTAGGGTCGAAGCCCCGGTACAGCGCAGTCCCGAGGGGCCAAAGGGACAGCAGACATCGGGGCAAGACGTGGCGCCCACGGATGCCAACATCAGCCAAGGCAGCAGGTTGCCCACCGCGGTGGCTCGGCGGTGCCAGCGGGACTGCTCGCGCCGTCCGCCTCGCAGCATCGCGCGGTCCGCCTGCACTGCCGGCGCCTTCTGCGCGCTTGCAGCGGCAGCGCCTGCTCCCCTACACGTGCGCTGGCGATGTTAAAGACCCGAGCGTGGAGGGGCGGGGCCAGCGACCGCCCCGCCCCTGCTTCAGCCAGCTTCTGCCCGGATGTCCCCTCTCCACCGAGCACTGCGGGTGTCCTCGGGGAACAGGGGTCTGGGAAGCTGATGTGTTATTACTCTCATCGTGAAACAGATGCAGTTTTAAAATTTTGCAGGAGGGAAGATATAGAGCTGAAGAAAGGGTGCAGTCCACGTCGTCCTAGCCAGCCCTGGCCAACCGCCCGCATGCAAAGGGAGTGTGCTTGTCACCTGGGATAAATCAGGTGGAACACTTTCTGACCTAGTAAGAATCTGGAGGTTACCCAAAAGGACCGAGCGAGTGCAGAGGAGGGGAGAAAAAGGAGTGCCCCCAAGAGCCGCAGGCGGACCCGGAACGGGACCCCCTTGGGCAGGAGGCCACGGGGTGGCGCTCGAGGCCCGCCCAGAGGTGGCGCTCGCCCCGGGGCTGCCCAGGGCGCAGGCTGCAACCCGGTGCTGCACTTGGGGCGCAGGGGCAGCCCTCAGCCAGCCAGCAGGGCCCGGGGCAAACAGGACCAAGCCGAGCAGGACTGGCATCGATCGCCGTCCTGACAAGAGCATCGATCTCTGCGCGCAGAAATTAATAGATCTTCGCTTAGCTCTTCGGACGCGAAAGGAGTGGGGATGGCAGCCCCCGGAGAGGCTGGCATCCCCAGCACCCAGAGCCCTGAAGGGCAAGCTCAGCTCTCCCAGCTACGGGCTGCGTAGCTGTAAGCGCCCATCGGCCTCAAATGAAGAGGAGAGAGAAGGGTGGGATCCTGAAGGAGGACTCTCGGGAAGGGTTGAACTGGGCTGGGGTACAGTGTCAGGGCGCTCAGTGCAGGGTGTCTCCAAGTCCCCGGCATCCCAAACGACTGGCGACTGGCGGGGGTGCAGGAAGACTGCAGGAGAAAGACGGAGCCACACAGCGATCGCCCCTTGCGGGGATCTGGGTAGGAACCAAGGACTAGGTGGGGACAAGGCCTCCTGCTGAGTGCCCAAGGACCAGATGGCCTTCTGAAGTTGAGAGGGGCTCAGAGGGACAAAGGACTTCAAAACACAGACGTATCCACGTTCTCGCTAGGCTTCCACAAAGGGCTCTGTGGATCGCGATCGAAGACGCCGCTCCGCAGGTGTCCAGACACCTGTTGGCAGCATCTGGAGCCCGCTGCTGGGAAGGAGACCCGGGTCTGTCGGATGTCACTCGGGAGAAGCCCGACGCGGGGGCCGGGAGGGGTCCTGGCCGCGAACTTGGGTGAGAAAGGCAGCTACTGGCCGACCCTCCCCCATGAGTTTGGCCTTATTTCCCCAACAGACCTGGCCCCCCTCAGTTGTCAGGCTAAATATTTTGGCTTGGCAGGAGGGGCCGAGGGAGCTGGGAGGTCCCACAAACCAATCCCCTCCGACGTGAGCGGAGAGGAGGAGCTGGGCGCGGCTGCCCGAGCGCCCGCCCGCCAGTCTGCATGGGAAACACAGGCTGAACGGCCGTCCAAGGAATCCCGGAGGCTCTCCACCGTCCACTGGACGCCTGGAGCGCTCTAGGGGTTCTGCTTCACTTCGGGCCAGGGAGCTTTCTCTCGGCCTGCTCTTTGCTCTGAGCCCTGCGTTACTTTCTCCCTCTGGAGGCCTCTCTAAAGTTTTCTCCACGCTGTCAGCATCTCTGTTACCATCTCTTGGCCTCTGGACTCACACTGAGTCTGTCTCCAGCTGCTCCTCACTGGCTTTGTGTCTGCAATCCTCCTTTCTTCCTTGTCTCCTGCTGTCCCCAGGCAGTGTCCCTAATTGCTCTGCCTCTGGCTGTACCTTCCTCTCCAGAGTGTGGGTTTCTGCCTCCCTTACCATTTCTCAGACCTTTCTCCTCCTCCCAGAAGCCACCTGCAGGAGAGCAAGGCCTGAACACAGTCCGCGACTGGGGCCATGGCCAGGCCCAGTCTGTGGTGCTGGAAAACATGGCTCCTTGTGAGCCTCCTCTCTTCAGGATTTAGCCTGGACACAATGAAGGGTGAGTCCCCAGCCTGATTTCCCTGACACCCCACCAACACTTCTCCCTTTCAGACAGCTTGGAAGCCACAAACTGAGCCTCTAGCCATAATGCACCTACTTTTCAATATGCTATGAAGAATGAGATTAGCTCTCAGAAGAACTTCCCATCAGGAAAAAATTAGATGCCACATGGAGATTTTTTTTTTTTCCTCAGCCCTATAGGAAGGAGGTAAGGACTGGGAAACAGGAGGATGAATAGATATCCTCCTCTCTGTTCCTTCTTGTGAAGTGATGATCCCAGTAAAGCCTGGATGAGAAACATGATGAGACTGTGTTAGAGATCATTTCCAAGGCCATCAAATGAGAAGGGACAAGGCTGGGGCAGGTAGCTGAGAACCAGCATTGTTAAGACAGAAAACAGATGGGGCCAGGGAGATGGCTCAGTGGAATAAGCCCTTGCCTGGCAAGTGCAAGGGCCTGAGTTCAATCCTCGGTTCTGGAAAAAAAAAAAAAAAAAAAAAAAACAGGAAACAGGTTCTCTGTCGGGGAGAGGGGCTGGCTCAGGTGCTGGCTGGTTTGCAGGGGAGTGCTGTCCCTCAGTGCCCAGTGATTTTTCCCAGATAGAAACTTCCAACAAGTAGGGGTTTGGTAGGGTCTTGGGATATTGTAGACCAAAGGGTACTGGGGGCTTAGTGGGGAGAGGAAAGAACAGCAGAAGGGAAAACTTCAAAATGGGGAAGATTGAGTGGTATCCTCTTCCCCAATTCTAGGATTACTACAGACTGAGGGAGCCCAGGAATCCAGAACTCTGTACCAGCCTCAGACAGGAGTTTCCACACTTAGGTTACCTTTTCTTCTACATAGACAAGGTGGTGGTGCAGTTGGGGTGGAATGGGGTGCTGCTAAAGGGTGCTAGTCTCAAAGGTTCTACCTGAAAAGCCTACACACACACACACACACACACACACACACACACAAGCACACGCACACACGCATGCACTGAGCCCCTGCCTCCCCTCCTCCCTCCATGTTGTACCAGCACAGGGCACAGCAGATGCCAGCCAGGGGCACAGTTGTCAAGACAGAAGCATGTCCCTGGAGGATGGAGTCATTGTTTAGTCAGGGGACCCAGATGTCCTGTTCCCAGTGCAGTTTTGCATAGACTCAGACCTGAGGGAAAGCAGGAGTTAATTTACAAAGGTCTTAGATTTGTTTTTCCAAATGACTCCCATCAGGGGAGCCCTGGAGAGGCAAGGGCATGATGGGAAGTGGGCACCTGAGAGAACCCCCATCTGCCTTGCAGAGCCTGATTGGCCTTTTCCTGGAGGAGATGGAAGTGTTTTCTCTTTCTCTCCCTCTCTTGTATGTGTGTGTAAACCTGCCTGAGCTCTCTCTC